TGAATATTTAAGAAGCAGACTAGCATTTGGAGGCAGCAGTACTTTAGATCAGGGGTGAGGAAATGCATATGAAATTCAGGAGCCTGTCAGTGCAATCCAAGAGCTAGCAGAATTTTTTTACACGGCACCTCCATTGACAACTAGGGAACCTCAAGTTAGGTGCCAGCTTTCATTTTTATGCAGCATTCTTGACCTGGAATTTGTCCAGCCCGGCCTTAGATGTTCTCGTAGTGCAGTTGTAAGGCCGAGGCTACAGGAGTGCCTAGGCATGGTCACGTGTCCGGAATTAAAGTGGTGGTAAACGCTCTTCTTTTTTTTTTTTTTTTTTTATTGTATCCAGATTTTTTTTTTTTTATTGTATCCAGATTAAGCTAATCTACATTGCCCAGCAAAGTATTTTACATTTTCACACTAAGCATTCACAGTTGTCATGTTTCCTAATAGCTGGCTCCAAATTGCTCAGCTTTCCTTAAAGGAGAATTATGAGGTGAGTGATTTTTCACTCAGCCTCACAATCTGAGCCAACCTGTGACCATGAAACTGTCACAGGTCGCTCAGATCGGGAAGTGAGTGAACGCATACAGTCGCTTGCTCACTTCTTGATCTATCCCTGCAGAGAGCTGTGACTGTCACTCACGGCTCACTGCAGGGAAGACCATTAGGAGAACTATGGGGAAAGCCCTAACCCCATAGTTCTCCTAACTTCCTGTCCAGTACGTACAAGGTGCAGCACAGTCTACAGCAACCATCTCAGATGGAATGGGAGCAGTGAGAAGTGCTGTGCCTGTGTTTATGGAGATGCACACTACTTATTAATACATACCATAGAACATGCTTTGGAAAGGAGCTACCCTAAACCAGCATATCAAATTGGTGTTTGAAATAGCAGAAAACCCTTCTGACTATCACTTTAAAACTCCAGGCTTGTTCACATGGGCTTCAACTTGTAGAAGAGCATTGTGTACAGGCTAGCTTTTGCAAAGCATTTTGGGACACTTTCTGCAAGATTCAAGAGCATTTAAAGAAGCCTAGTGTTCTGTGTTGAACACCCATCTCAATGGGAGTGCCGACCATCCTTGAAACATGCCTCATATATTGCTGAAGCTCACTGGCTCCTGCTTGTATCAAATTTTCACTTTTACTTCCACCATTGCATCTAAATTAGAGAAACCCCGGCTATGGTATGTGCTCCCATTCACACAGCATGCCAAAAAAAACTTTCTAGTTTCTTTGGAACAGAATTGTACACGGGACTCTGCAGGCAGTTTTATATTTTCCATAACTTGTTAAATAGTACACCTAAAGAGAACCTGGGGGCATTGGCATACAATGTACCCAACAAGTTTTTGTATCTCTAATCCTTTGGTATGACGGGCCATGTGCACATATTTGCCAGCACCGTACATAAGGTTAATTATGGTAAAAAAAAGCAAGATTTGTATAGGGGTTTTTAGCAAGTAAAACATTGAGCAAACATTGAATGCGAATGGGCACATGTAACAGACATAACAAATGTAACAAGTGTATTATGGTAGTTGGTCAATATCAGCTCCTAGGAAGCACTGCTGGGATTGTAGGTCAAAATGTTTCTGCCTACTTTTATTTTTGTCAGTTATGCAAGTGACTCTTTCCACGTAAATGACTTGCGTTTGTTGTGTGGTGCTGCCCCTTAGTGGCAGAGTGAATATTGGTGTTTTATTCATGCAACATACCTGTAAAATGATAAGGTAATGCTAATCTGCTGGTAGTGTTAACCTGAAACCCTAAAGATTTTGTACATGGTTTCAATGTTTTTAATTAAAGCCAAATTCCTAAAAAAAAGGTCTCTTTTTGGATAGTGTAGGGAAGGTTTGATTTTGTTGCGGTTTTCTTATTGGAGAATCCTTTCTATCTAATGTACTCTACCACACACGGACACAGCCAGCAATAAAGGTGATTCGTGTATTTTTTTTCAGTGGAGTAGGCCAAAGGTTTTAATCTGTCGGGTATCGCTGTGCCTCCACTGCAGAGATTCTCCTCACTTTCTGGGTGTAAAACAGAAGTGAGAAGAAATCTACCCTAGTGCAACCCAAAGCATCGAAGACTAAACTGGGGAGAGAATTACTCTTAGGGCCTGTTCACACAACGTCCGTTTTCTGTGCTGACCTGATCCGTACGCACCTGCACTAAAAATGCATCCCAATGTATCCCTATGTGTTTTATGGGCTACAGTTCTCACGTGCGCAGTCCGTTCAGGTTACGACAGAAAAATACTACATGTCACATTTTGTACGGTCCGAAAACGTGTCAAGCGCACTGCAGCTAACATACTGATAGCCCCACTCCAGCAAAAAAAAATTTTTTTTTAACTGGAACGCATCAAAAACGCGGCAAAAACACATAGCACCTGACCTGATCAGGGCCTGAAACTCATGTGAACAGGCCCTTAAAGGGGTTATGTGTTCAGACAAGGTTTTGGCTGGAATTAAACCTTTTTTTTTTCAACTTTGCTACAGAAAATTTGGTAATATTCCTTTAGTCATTTAATGTTGTAGTTTTGTTTGATGCCTTCAACGCCCCCAAATTGTCATCTGACCCTGAGGATGCCTCTGATGTCCACTCCTGATCACTTCTTTTTTTTTTTTCTCTACATAGAATCTAATCAGATGCTGCATTCAATTTGTCTAAGCTTCGCCTGCATGCTGCTCCTTGTGGGAGGAGTGTGATGGCAATGACTTGTGCAGTCTCTGGGTGTCCTAAGATCCAGTGTAGCTTCTATGCTGATGGGAATAAGAGATGATTAAGCTGTGTAAATACAGAGCTGCTCTTTACCAATCATGTTCCAATATATAACAGGGAGGGGGAGTGCTGTTTTTAGCCTGATCACCATCCAACCCTGGTGCCTGACTGATTTTTCTGTGGAGCACATTTAAAATTTCTAGGCTTCAGGCCTAATAAGCTCATTAGAAAAATGAGGAAAGCCTGCAATGTGAGTCACGAAAAATGTGCACATGTATAAATCATCCCTGAACCTCCTCATTACCACAATAAATGCTAATCGCGTGCACAGGTGGAAATGGACGTACACCTGCAGTTGCACAATTTAGCGAGGTGTGGTTTACATCACCCCCTGTAGTCTACAGGAGCCAGGGTTGTGTTCATGCCTGTCTATAGAGGAAGAAGTTGTACAACTCCCAGAAGTTACCTAACTCGGAAAGTATTTGGATTGAAATGAACTGCTGGAGACCTTGGAGGCAGAGTGTGGAAGTTGCTGATGATAGAACCAGGGCAGTCCCCCTTTTACAGGAAAAGTAATGTGGTGCAGCTAGTGTCCAGCTTTAGGCTGGGTTCACACCTAGGCGTATCGAATATGTGGGTTTCGTGTCGTGCATTTCGCGGTAAAAACGCTAGGGCTGTATTCCAATGGAAACGCGCGACAAATGCCCCAAAGAAGCTCCTGTACTTCTTTGGGCGTAGGGCATTTTGTAGCGCATTCATACGGCCTGTATTACGCCCAGGGGTGAACCATGCCCATAGGAAATAATGTGATTTCGGTGTTTGAGCGTTTTGCAGAACGTGCTACAAAACGCCCAGGTGTGAACCGGGCCTTGGTTCTTTAAAACTGGCCATACATTACAATCTGACTTAACATGAAGCTAAATGATCTATTTGTACTTTAGTGATTCTCTCTGTAAGTGAATAAAATACTGGAGTCCAACTGTAACATTTATCTGAGAAACTGCAAGATTGCTAAAGATCCACTCTGTCCGCTAACTCTGTCCGCTAACTCTGTCCGCTAACTCTGTCCGCTAACTCTGTCCGCTAACTCTGTCCGCTAACTCTGTCCGCATTTGGGCTGAGCCATATTGTGTTGGACAGCTGGAGGCAGCCATGATTCATCCATAGGGATTAATGGGACACATATGCATTTAGGACACTTGCAAAGGCTGTGTGGGAGTGGGTAGGACTGCATTATGAATTTGAAGTATTAAGAGAAACTATTGTGCAAATTCTGGCAACAGATTCACGTTAAAGATTTTACCTTCTAACCACTGCTGCAGACTTAATATTTAAGAATTAATTTTCAGATGCAATTTACACAGCGGTTGCTTGATTTGAGCCAGTAGTTTGAATGTTGTCTGCCCCAACACAATGACTGGAAGCAAAGTTGCTCTAGATTTGCTGACCTGTTTCCTATGTATTCTTCTATGAAGGTTTGTATGAAGTGGATCCAGGGCCTTTAGTATTCCTGTGTGGTGGGTGGAGGAGTTTAGGCATTTAGCCAGTACAAATACATTATGCTTTCTGGGTGTGCTGTGTATCAGTTGACCTCCAGAGATTTTAATGGGTCCTTTCTGTTCAGATAATGTTTAAAGAATGCATAGGATCTGTAGTGGGGTAGGATGACTTTAGCTGCAAAATAATTGAGACATCCAAAAGGTGAAATTGCTTACTGTAGGATAGTGCATATCACCCTTACATTTCATATCGCATAACACTTGACTGAATTAGGCATTTGTGCAGAAATCCTGTAGTCTGCATGTAGATTATATCTAGTGTTGCACAAGTAGGTAAAGCTACAGTATTTGTGGAACCACTAAAGAACAAAAAATGAAACTTTAATATCACTTTAACTTTTGGTAGGTTGGAAAATGTAACACAATATAGTTTTGTGAAAGCTTTGGACCATTTTCCATCAGTACTTAGCAATGCCCTCTGCTGGCTTCTGGAAACCTTTCAAAATGTTTTGAGTTTGTGCCACAAACGGTTCTGTTTAATAAAAGTGTTTCATTCTTTGCATTCCCCTTCTAGTTCTAATGTATTTTGTATACTGCATGTTTTTAGATGTACCTCAACAATAATTGCTAATTAAATTTACTTCATAGCTGTATTCATAATTACAGAAATGTCATGTTTACGTTTGGGACTGTAGCCGATATCTGCAGTGTAGTGTTGTACATATAATTCTTTGTCGATCTCTGCTCTTAATGCACACAAACGTGTGTTTATTTCCCCCCCAGTTTCTCCAAGAAAGAAGCAGATTATAAAGCACTTCAAGCAAAGTTCCGTGATAATGAATCCCTTCTGTACTCTGCGGATGCTGCTCGTGTCACAGCAGAAAGTGAAAAGAAAAATCTGGAGCTGGAAGTGGAAGGCCTCAGAGCAGAGATTGAACATGTAAGAATCTGTTGCTAATGTAGATATACTTGAATAGAGATATATAATTAAAGGGAGGGGGAATGGGTTTTTGTTTCCCCCTCCATGCTCGCAGATCCATGCTCGCAGATCAATTAATCAAATTGCTTTCTTTCCAGTTTGAATCTGCTCTGGCAAAATTAAAGGCACACCTTGGGGAAGAGGCACTGCAGAAAGTGGAGCTTGAGAACCGGTGCCAATCTCTGACTGAGGAGCTTGAGTTCCGTAAAAACATCTACGAGGAGGTAAGTACTGAAACGTGCAATATTTACTTTCAAAGTCCCCCTTTCTCTCACCACAACTTGCAGAGCAGCAGCTATGGTAATCTGTGATCGGCTGGCAGTCATGTGACAGTCTCTACTTCAATGAATAAGCTGTAAAGAGCAGGCTGCAGTTTGTAGTGGAGAGCAAACAGATCTGTGCTCCATTATAAATCTTGCCCTAGTTTGAAAACTTGTTACATTAAAGAGCCTTCTTTATCCTGCGGAATAACAAATTGGTATACAATTGATATCTTAGAAATGTATATACCAAAAGTAATGTGTTTTTGCCAAACCAGTAGGACCATAACTGAAATGTACCAGTGCTGAAGTAGTAAAAGCAGCACTCCACAGAAAGGTGCATGCAAAACACACAGGACAGTTTTATCTTGGGACCTATCTTTACTGTCCCGTCTTCACAGGAAATCAAGGAGACAAGAAAACGTCAGGAGACCCGCTTGGTTGAAGTGGATACTGGTCGAGTTATTGATTATGAGCACAGACTTGCCCAAGCTCTGACTGAAATGAGAGCACAGCATGAAGAACAAGTCAAGATTTATAAAGAGGAGCTTGAGCATACCTTTCACGCTAAGGTATGACATCTGATTTTCACACTTAAACAGTCTTATGAACTGAAACATTGCTAGGGTTTTGTAGGAATGGCAGTGGTTTGCTTTGCAGACAACTTGGTTTACACTTTATTTTGAAAAGTAATATTTTGGTGTATATAATAGTATTGCTTCAAAATGTTATATGGGTAAGATTTACTGGTTGACATGAGTTAATTCATGTATGCAAAAGTTGTGGATAAGTTGTTTCTCATTGCTGCACCATCTTTGTGTGTTGTATACACAGAAGATCTGCTACAGAGTTTTAAACCTTGTGTGGTTGTGGGGGTTTTTTTTTCTTCTGACTTTATGATGATCCAGTGTTTAAAGTAGAAATCCCACCAAAAACTTGTTTTGGCTGCCGTAATGTTGGGTTTAGTCTGATTCCTAATTTTTCAGGCAAAGAGCAGCTTCCCCATAAAGTTGTCGTTGACTGTAGACTAATGTGGATTGGTAGCGATGGGTTACTGTACTATGAACATTTAATGTTAAATAAGCTTTTGTTTTCTTTCAGTTTTTTATAATTTGTACTCAAATTGACAAATCTCATGAAGAAACCGCTTGGTGACACGATTATGTTGACACAAGTGACTTCATATCCATCTTCCTGTTTGACAATTTAGTATTTTCTACTACATCTGCGCTGTATGACAGCTGTAATTGTATTTCCTTAGGAAATACTTAATTCCGGTTTGGCCCTGGCAGGGTGACGGATGTCCGTGTTTGGTGTATTTCCTCATTTTGTGTTTCTCTTTCAGCTGGAGAATGCTAGACAGTCATCTGAGATGAACAGCTCCACAGCCAACAGCACACGAGAGGAGCTCATGGAGAGTCGTCTACGTATTGATAGCCTTACAAGCCAACTTTCAGACTTGCAGAAAGAGGTATGATGGTTTTGGGCACCAGTGAACAGGGGGGGATGTCCTTGAACTGGAGAGGGTCCAGAGGAGGGCTACCAAAATCATAAAGGGGATGGAGGACCTGAGTTATGAGAACAGGCTTCTAAAATTAAACATGTTCTCCTTGGAAGTAAGGAGATTAAGGGGTGACATGATTTTGATGTATAAAATGTTTACCGGGATAGTAACATTAGCAGCAAACTTTTTACAATTAACTCGATGACAAGGACGAGAGGCCACCACTTAAAATTGGTGGAGAAAAAATTTCAGCACAATGGGCGAAGGGGGTTCTTCAGTTAGATCGGTCAAGGTCTGGAACTCGCTGCCACATGCTGAGTGTGGAATCATTCAAGAGGCGATTGGACGATTTCCTCAGGGACAGTAATATACAGGGGTAAAAGTACTTTTAAATTGATACCACACAAGGGACCTATATATACTACACACCAATATGACCATACACACATACACAAATAGGTTGGACTTGATGGACATATGTCTTTATTCAACCTCAAATACTATGTAACTATATGTTGTAGGTGATATGTCATAATACAGAAGCAGTAGCTTTAAAGGAGAAATACTTGTTTACTAAACTGGATATGCACCCTTCCACCCATTTTAAAAGTTTCATTTTAATATGTTTACAGTCTAGAGCATGGTATGATCGTATGCAAGAGCTAGAGGAGTTGCTGGCTAAAGAGAGGGACTCCTGTCGTCGCATGCTGTCGGAGAGAGAGCGAGAGTTGGCTGAAATAAGAGATCAAATGCAGCACCAGCTTTCTGAATATGAGCAACTTTTAGATGTGAAGCTGGCTCTGGACATGGAGATCAGTGCCTACAGGAAGCTGCTGGAGGGTGAAGAGGAAAGGTGAGCCATGGCATCTAAAGTTAGGCAATTTGTCACAAGCAGTCATTGCACCTCCAGTTCGGCTTTTTATTGATTTGATCATTGTGTTGCTCATTAAGCTGAAATATTGCATACATTAACTTATTTTTTTTATATATGTAAACTGTACAGACTACAACTTTCTCCAAGTCCTACCTCCCGTGTGACAGTTTCTCGGGCCTCTTCAAGTCGTGCTGTGCGAACAACTAGAGGAAAAAGGAAGAGGGTTGATGTGGAGGAGTCTGAAGCAAGCAGCAGCGTCAGCATTGCACACTCTGCCTCTGCCACTGGGAATGTGTCTCTTGAAGAGTTGGACGTGGATGGAAAATTTATCAGACTGAAGAACAATGCAGATGAAGTGCGTCTCTTGCTGTTTAAAGCTACTTTAAAACGACTATAAAATACAAGTTTGTAATACTGGATGTTTTATTTGTAGGATCAACCATTGGGAGGCTGGGAAATTACTAGAACCATTCGAGACACATCTGTGAATTACAAGTTTACCTCAAGATATGTGCTTAAAGCAGGCCAGACTGTTACAGTAAGTGTCTAGCTTCAAGGCTCACTTTTTCAGGCTGTTAACAAGTGCTCTATAAACATTGTATGTTGGGATGAGGGGAGATGCTTTGTAAATGGCACCCACTGTTGTGCTGGTTTTGAAGGAATATATAATGGGGTTTGCAACGGTTTTGTTTATATTGATGTTTTCAATATAATATACAATACTTGTTGCCTGCCTTAAGTACTTTGACTTCACGTGACTTGCATTTTAAAACTGGCACAGATATCCTTTATATGGGGAGCATCCATGATATTCTGTTAAAGCAGGCTAATAAAGTGCACCATAGCAAGTCGCATGAACACTTCGTATTGAGCTCTACTTGTTAGACGTATCCATCTTCTGTCATGCTGCAGTGTGAGTAATATGGTATCTCCGATAATGTTGGATCTGATACTAAACGTAAAATGACAAATGCGTGTTTTGTTAAACGACTGTTGAGGCAACTTTTTTTTTAAGCATTTGTTGTCCCTGTTTCTGAAAAGGATGGGTGTAGATTTTACTTTTTTTTTTTTTTACTCATGGCAATGTGTGGGGGCATTTACAGTCCTAAGCTCTAATCCTCGACTTTTGTATGCTGATGTGCACTTTTTTTTAAATATGATGTGCATTATAAAATTAACACTTTATAACTTTTAAATAGATTTGGGCTGCTAATGCTGGTGTTCCTGCAAGTCCCCCAACTGACCTCATCTGGAAGAACCAGAACTCTTGGAGCACTGGTGAAGATGTAAAGGTTGTGTTGAGAAATTCTCAGGGAGAGGTATGTTGTGTTCAGAACTAATAGTAAAGAAGCTATTCAAGAATGTATTGGGGTAGCAATTTGATACAATTACTACATTTCTTTTGCCTTAGGAAGTGGCTCAGAGAACCACTGTCTTTACAACCACTGTACCAGAAGACGAGGTAGATGAAGAGCCAGAAGAGGTCCAGGAAGTCCTTTATCAGAAGGAGACAAGACAGCGTCGGCAGGTAGATGTTACTACATTTTGTTGTAGTAGGGCATGTAGTTTTGTGTGGGTTTTTTGTCTTGATCGTTTCTCTACCCCTCTTTGCGATTGGTTATTGAAATGTATGCTCTTGAGACTTTTAGTAGCCCATAAAAATCTGATGGCTGGGCTTTTTTTTGGCTTTTTTTTTCCCATGGAACTCAAGCAAGCTGAATAAACTACTGGGGGTAGCAATCTCCAGAAATGTTAAACACTTTGGCCTCTTCTGTTATCCTCTTTTACTTAATGATGAAACCAAACAAATTGAGGCAATTGGTGTAATATCTTAGTGGTTACGAACAACTGTGCCTTTTTTGGTTTAACTAAACTTGCCTCATTAACTAAAATGTGGTTCTTTTCCAGGCTCCAGAAAACAGAAGCTGTGCTGTGATGTAGAACAAGCCGGTGTGATTCCAGAATCCACAGATCTGAGCCTTTTTTGGGAACATCCTATTCTGGCAGTGTACACGTTTCAAAAGTAGAAAATGCCTAAGCTGATGGCCTTATTTTTGTATTTTAAATTCTTGGGCACAGTCTTTTTTTTAAATATTTGGGTAAAATGTGAAGTGACTAGTATGTACACTGTAAGGTCCTGAATCATTCAGGGATAAATTGATTAACTGTGAAGGCCACACATCTGTCATCCGCCAGTCCTCAGCAATTACTTAAAAGGTGCTGTACATTTGGAGGCATGTAATGTTCGTGCTTCTACCTTTTTTGTACTGAATCTTTATTTTCTGCTATGAAATTGAGATTTTAAACCATTTTATCCTTCGGCTTTGTTGCAAGGCGTTATTTGTATCATGTGAAAAATCCAGCTGTTTTTATTGGGAACTTTTTAGTTTAGTGTGGTGGGTGGGTAATATTTTAGCCATTTTAAATATGAAACCATTACTTACCTTTTAAAAAAAAAATAAAATAAAAGTTTCTACTGTTTTTGTCTTTGGTATACTTTTTTGAGAAATGTGTTCTCTGAACATCACATACAGTGGAGAAGTCAGTGTTGTAATCCTTGTAACCCCTCACAGCCCCCTAACATTGCAAAAGCAAGTAGAAAATGTAACCCTTAAGAATCCAAGAAACACTAACCCAAAGTAATTTAAACTGCAAGAAGTATTTTTTTATTTGGCTTATGCTATGTGCATGGGAACTAATTATAAATCTAAAATAGGTGGTCCAGTTTGGCTGCAAAATGTGGAAATGCACTATAATCCTAATTACAGGCAGTCCCCGGGTTACGGACGTCCGACTTACGGACAATCCGTACTTACGAACTTGGTCCACAGTTCTCCTAAATGTACCGGCAGCCGCCGGTAGATTTAAGAGAACTGTGGCTGCAGCGGCCTGTGTCCTTTCAAATTCCAGCTGCTCTCCGCTCTGTGTTGGTGGGGGCACAGACCGCCGATACCCCACGTACCTCCGCTGATGTGCTGGCTTCCTCTTCAGCCGTTCCGTTGGCTTCCCTGGTCCGGATGATACTCCAGTCTCCTGGTCCGGCTGCGGCTCCTCTGCCCCGCCCCCCCTGCCTACTCTTCATTGCAGGCTGGGAGCCGTACCCAGCATGCTATTGGATATTGTAAAATGCAGTAGCCAATAGCAAGCTGGCTATTGCACCCGCCCACTGTCTGCTGTCAATCAGCATGGGGGGACCTGATGGAGAACTTTCTTCTTCAGACCCCTCCTCTGCTTGACAGCAGGCAGTGGCCAGATGCAATAGCCAGCCTGCTATTGCAATTTGAAATATCCAATAGCAGGCTGGCTATGGCTCCCAGCATTCAAATACAAAAATAAAAATGTAATTAACAAAAAGTAAAGAGTTAAATGCAAATAAAAGCTTATAAAATAAAAAATAGAAACTTTTGCTCCTGTCATTTTAAATAAAACATTTTTTTTAAATTATCTGAACAGGAACAGACAGCAAAAGAACCGTGACCCTTCCCTATGCTATCCAAAACTAAAAAATGTTTTTTTGGCTGGAGTTGCACACTTAAATGTACCTGTTCCGACTTGCATACAAATTCAACTTAAGTACAAACCTAAAGTCCCTATCTTGTATGTAACCCGGGGACCGCCTGTACTTGGAAAATTGTATTATCCTTATGACGAGAGCAGTGAAGATATCCCAAATTCTAATCCTAACCAGTAGAAAACTGGTGTCGTTTGCTGGCTCCTGCTCCCTTGGGCTCTGGTCAGGTGCTTGCAGCAGTGGCTTTGCCCTGACATTTCCATGGAGACACTCCTGCCTTTTCCTGTGCTTAGGCGTAAGACATCAATGTCAGTATTGGGGGAGGGGATAAGTCCGGGTCAAATGGCAGGTAGGTCTGCACACGTTGGGAGGGCTTCTTGTTCCAGTGTTGGATATTTTTTATGCTTCCTTGTCCATTTGGCAGGACCCTATTAAGTGCACCCTTCCTGAGACTGTGGCATGAAGATCTGATGGATCCAGGTAGGGATCTTTGCAGGCAATTAGGGGGGAAAAGAGTGCTTGACTAGATATTTTGTCACTTCTCGATCTAGCCCTGCAGAGAGCCGTGACTGTCACTCATGGCTCCCTGCAGGCACTCTTCCCCTGTCTGATCCTCCAGCGCTGACTGGCGGAACGGGAGGGGGTGGGTACAGTTGGCTCTGCCTCTAGGTAGGCAGAGCCAGCTGTCAAGCCCGCAGCTGGTTGGATCTCGACAGTAAAGTCGGTATCCGTCCTGGCTGCGGCGTCCCAGTATACCATGAGCTGTAGCTAGCTGTATACTGAGCTTAGGGTGACGGGAGGACGCTAGTTTGTGTCCTCCCGTTACCCTTAAGAGAACTATGGGGAAAAACACTGACCCCATAGTTCTCCTTTAAGCATATGTGCCCAAAGGGACCTAGCATTTCTGGCTTTTTTTTCCTATATTTTCCTCGTCAGTGCAGCTGCGGTTTGACTCATTGCGATTCAGCTGCCATGGCAAAGTAATGCGTTCTTGATTTTGTGGCAGTGTCATCTTGTGTGACTGCTGTGAATGCCATCCACTGGGAGGAGGACCTGGCTCAGCCCAATGAAATTTAAGGACGTTATTAAGGTGGAATGGGCAAACTTGCTAATGTACATAAACTGTCTAAGCTTTACCTGTTATGTCAAGAGGATTCGGAAGCTTGGGATAATACGCCAAGGGTTGACATGCCCCTTCAAAGGTTGGCCCTTCATGTCGCCTTACCCCTCGACGTGTTGGTGACCTTCACAGATGTTATGGACAGAAGGATTTGGGAAGATTGACTTGTCAGATGAATTGACCAGAAAATTGTGGCTTTGACATCGGTAGCCAGAGCTCTGAAGACATGGGTGCTCTTGATTGAGTCGTCTTAAGGATGTAGTTTACCGTTTATGAGGAAAGTTCTCTTCGGTAAGCCTTTAGACAAAACCATACACATTCAAAATTGGAAAATCGGAATTGATTCCACATGAGAGAAGGAAAAAGTCTAGAGTCAGTTTTGTGAATCAAGATCTTGCAGACGAGAGCAAATATTAAATATGCCCGTATTGGAGTTAAAACAAGGCGTTTGGTATTGGTGCACAAGATGCAATAAATGTACTAGTCATACAGAGAGGGAGGCAGAGAGGTTATGGTAGTATTAAACTCTCCAACTATAATGAATCCAGAGCAAACAAATATATATATATTGCCCAGCAAAACATTGCTTTACATTTTTCCCCAAACACAATCATGTTTCTCAACAGCTGCTTCCATGTCTCTTAGCTCAGCTACCCTAAACTTCCTGTCCAGTACAAGATCACAAAGGGCAGTGCAGACTCCAGCAACTGTTCATCTCCTAGCTTGCGGGGGGGGGCTGGATTTTCTGGGTCTGTGTGTGTGGGTCTAATTTAGGCGGCCGGCAACTGCCCAGAGGACCCCACTCGGAGCAGCAGTGATGCGATGCTCTTCAGCGCCGACGACGTCCTTCAGTGCCGGAGAGCAGCGTCAGTGCCAGCGCTGGTCCCCCGGGAGGAGCTACAGGTGGGGTCCTAATTTAGCGCCACACCTGGAGCTCGTCGCTGCTCTCCCGCACAGCGCCGCACATTGTGAGCAGTGAGTGAGGGCAAGGGGGGTCCCTATTAAGCAGAAGATAATTGTAAACCTATTGTCTGCAGTGTATTAGCAGTGAGTACTCTATATGTGCATATAGAGTACTCACTGCTAATACACTGCAAACCATAGATTTACAATTCTCCCCTTCTAACATGAATAGGTTAAATCATGATCCATAGTATATAACATGAAGTCGTACTATGGATCATTTAAAGTCACCTGTCCCTTTAGGAAAAGTATCGGTAATTGGTATCGGCAAGTACATGAGGGGAAGTACTTGGTCTTGAAAAAAGTGGTATCGGGACATCTCTGTTGGAATTCATTGAGGGACACAGGAACCACCACTCCGAGTTTATAACCATGCCCTTGGTACTGCTTACCTACATCACTGAGGCATGCAGGGTCATCCTGTGCTGTTCTACAGTTTTTGTGTTTGCAAACGTCCAATCCTCCTGTAGACATCAGTATAACTTGAAGGTTAAAGTCTTCACGTGTCCCTCAAAGGAGTTCAAGAAAATGATTTTACAGTAGGTACAAAAAATCCTAGTGTTGCATTTTATGCCCCAATAGGGGGATTTCTGTAGTCCAAATGAAGTTACATACAGCAGTTATGATTTGACAAGAGTTCTAATCATTCCCCACTCCAAAATGACAAACAAGTTAGTATTAACAAGCTAGTATTAAAACATTGTCCATAAAAAGTCCTTAGAAAGCTCACCCACCAACAGGTGTCAGTGGATTTGACCGAGCCTGCTGTTTGGCAGGAGACTTCAGCTGCATGGCTGGAAGGAATCTGAGCTCTGTCTGCAGCACCTGTCTCTTCATAAGTTGGTTCACTGACATCTGTGTCTGATACAAATAAAGCTTGTCTCCTCAAGAGTAGAGAACACTTTGGCTTCGTAAGAACATAAGCATATGGAAGCCTGTGCTCAGAGCTATATGTATTCTGTACTTAAAGATAAAGATCGAGTGTGTCATAAGTGCTGTGTCTACAATTCCTAAAACGAATAAACCTTTTACATATGCATTTATCTCTTACTTGCCACTCTCACATTGAACCAATGCCACTGTCTATATATCTGTGTGTGTATTGTTTCCGCTGATTTATTTGGTAACAAGTTACAGAATTTGCAGTAAAAGCAGTACTCTGAACCATACCAGATACCTTTGCTGTCAGTCAAGACTGAATTTGCTTACAGGAGGGAATAGCAGAGAGATAACTTCGCTGTGCTGCTGCTCCTTCACTGTCAAGTTTGACTGAGGTAGGTCTCCTTTTGTTTTGCAATGTCTGCAAAGAGGTACTGGGTCTGAGAAGGATGCCCAAAACACTGGCAAGAGAATTTCCTTTAAAAATATTACCTGGGTTATAATCTTGAGAGCCCCACTCAGCTAAATTTGGACTGGGAGGGGGGTGCGGAGCACAGCAATAAAAATGAAAGCAGAGGTTCCAGCCCTTTCCATTGTATCAAGCCTTGCCATGGCTCTTGTAGAACGTCCAGTGGAGAATAAGCCTGTACAATTATAGGGGCTGCTTGTGTACTGTTTATGTCTTCATTTCAATCCCTTTTTATTCTTTTCTCCTGTCTAGAAATGGCTCATAAAAGACAGTGGCACTGATTAACTTCCTTCTGACTGTAGAATGTAAAGTGGAACTCCAGGTTATTTAATATAACAGTAAATGAAGCTTTAACCCTTTTGCTGCCAAGCCCTCCGGAACATTTTTCAAATCAGCTGGCCAAGCCATTTTTGAATTTTCTGCAATTTTTTCCTATTGGTTTGATTTTCAACTGCTGCGTTGCTAGCGTTTGTAAAAGACCCCCCAAACC